GGGCCTCCACCTACGTCCTGGTAGACCCCCTTCATGCTCTGCTTATGTTTCTGTTGCAGCCTCCGGGAACACGGAGCCACGGGTCTCGGTCCTGCAGTGTTAGCCTCTGTTGCCGTGGCGTCCAGGTATCCAGGTTCAAAGGTGAGCCGTGAGAGGACTGGTCAGACATTATGGCATCTCGATGAGGAGACCAACCAACCCGACGCTGTGTGTTCTGCAGGTAGTTCTGTGTACCGACGGCAGAGCCAACATCGGACTCGGGGAGCTGGAACAGCCTGCGTCTCCAGATGCTCCAGACTTCTACGGACGTCTGGCCCAGCGGGCCGTGGACAGCGGGTCGGGACCGCCTGCACCATGGACTCAGTTCAGACTGGTTCTGTGCTGAACCTGAACTAGAATGAAAATATTCTGTTTCTGCTCCTTTCCAGCGTCATAATCTCAGTGATGACCTTCGAAGGGACCGACTGCCGGCTGGCTGACATCGGCCGACTGGCTGACGCTACGGGAGGACAGGTGGGACAACGAAGCCACTTGGGTGCATAGGCATCAGCGCCCTGTCACACTGAACCTGTTCTCAGGCTCTTATCCAGGTTGTTTTCTCCGGACCAGGTCCTTGCTGGTGCTGGATCTGCTCTCAGACATACGTTGCTTTAGATTAAAGCGTCTGCTGATGAAACTGTAGAACTGTTGGAGCTAAGACATGAACGCTAACGTTCAGGGACGAAGTTCTGAAACATTACTGGCTTCCATCCTGGACAAATAATAATTATAATGAGGACCTGCTAGTTTTAATAAATCACAGGCAGCTGCAGGTTTGAGTGCAATAACCTGCACAGGTGGACAATCAGAAATGAACTCTGTCATTTGAGTTTGAACCAGTAACAGGTGAATCTGTGGCTCCAGAATGATGAGTTATGATGTCGTCCACGTCGCTGTATGAGGCCTAAATTACTAAAATGCACTTTAATTAATGTGCTCATAGCGAGCTGATGGAGGAGGAAACAAACATACCTGCCTCAGGTGCCTCAGAGGTCCCTGATCAGCACAGCAGGAACAACTATGACACAGAAACAGTAAAATAACATCAGAACATGTGACAGGTGGATCAGAAAGGTCTCCTCTCTAGTGATCACTGACCAATGCAGCAATGACAAAGGTTTTATTTAAATTAAAACAAATGTAGGTGGCTGAATGAATGACCCCCGTCAGGCTAAACAGGACCAACTGAAGCCTGTCTGCTCCGTCACTGAACCCCAACTCAGTAAAAGCTAAACTCTCAAGTTGGATCTGCACATGAGGAGTCCAACATCCAGGTTCTGTTTGATCCCAACATGAACCAGAGCTCACAGAACCGACGGCTTTAGTCCACAGAGAGGGTCTAAATAAGCTCCCCTGATGAACTCTTGGTCCTGCTCCTCTACAGGTGAACATCGTCAGCATCGGCACCGTAGCAGCAGCCATCCAGTCGGTCAGCGTGGACAGCGTCCTGGCAACGGGCGCCACGGCAACGCTGCTGGCTCCCGACGGAGTGTGAGTGTGACATGATGAGAGACATATAGAGACAGGAACTCCTCAGCTGGTTTCATATGTAACATGATGTGATGGTGGACTCATCCAGGGTGCATCATCATGCAGTCACATGATCTAACCTTCTCCGTGCAGTCTCCCTACCGACCTGTGTGTGTGCCGGTGGAGAGCAGCCTTCTGTGGAGGGTTCAACGTTCCTCTCTGTGTTTCTCTGCAGATATTTTCCGTACGAGGATGAAGACAATCACAAAGTGGTGAAGGAGATTGGGAACATCACCAGAGGGGTGGAGGTCACTTTCCAGTTTGCTGTGAAACCAGATCTCATGGACGGTGAGACGAACGCTCTGACTTCACACCTGGCAGTGGGAACTACGTTAGATTAGTTAGAAATAGTCTACAGAAACCAGATAATAACACACGATGAACTCTTTGTGGGTCACCTCATGTAGCATCATTCAGTCCTCCTCCAGAACCTCCTCAGAACATCTGGTTCTGTATCTGCGGTAACGTTATCTACTGATCAGAGTTCTACCTTCAGACTGCTCCAGGTCCTTGAAGTCCACAGAGGAGGCTCCACATTTATCACGTCTCTTTCTTGGTATTTTGAATAAAAATCTGTAAAAGATCCGTGAAGATCAGGCAGCAGGTTCCAGTGAAGACATGTTCAAAGCTCCTGGTTGAATAAACGCATTAACATTTATTCATTATTCCCGTTTAGAAGTCAGATGAAGAGCTTCATATTGGAGCAGACAGACTCGTTCTCAGCAGATGTGGCTGGTTTGATCTGGACCGGCTCTGTTTAGACATGCTGTGACACATCGGTGCTCGTTTCCAGTGTTTCTGCAGAAGGACACGCTTCCGTTCCAGCTGCAGCTGAGCTTCAAGACCAGAGACCAGCAGAGGGTGACTCGCATCGTGACCGAGCAGCGGCCGGTGACCAGCAGCAGGTAAACCTCCAACACATCCATTAGGGAGCATACAGCTGGTTCTGATCGTGTTCTAGAGGTTCAGTGTTGAGCATCAGGAGCTGCTGCTTCCTGACGGTCAGAGATACTAACGCTCTTCATCTCTTGTCAGCCGTATTGTCATCAGTCAACTCAACACGGCCGTCCTCAGCGTCCACTGCGCTCAGCTCTGTGCCAGTTTGACGATGGAGGGTCGAGTCCAGGAGGCTCAGAGGCAGCTGAAGGCCCAGCAGCACCTGCTCCAACTGGTCAGGTACGAGCCTCCCAGCGCTGCCAATCCAGGAAGACCACACACTAACGCCAGAACATTATTACCTGCAGGATAAACACCTGATGTGGTGATTCTGAATGGTTCAGCTGGTTCTGTTGGTGGTGACGTCTCCCCTCTCTCTTCATCGCAGCAGGTTGAGGCCCATCAGGAACGAGGAGAGCATCTACGGTAACTGGATGAGGACCATATCGACCATCTGTGACGACATCAAACCAGAAAGACCCGTAAGCCACGTACGTCTCGGTTCCGTTGATCCACTCACAACTAAACAGAAGCCAACAGGCCCATTGTTCCTGTCCCAGCGTCCACTAGCATGAATCACACGTGATGAAGTGCAAACGCAGCTCGTTCACTGGTTCCTGTTTCAATTTAAACCAAACACTGAAGATGGGCCTGATTTCTGTTGACTGGTATCAGACAGAAAAACAGGTCCAGCATCCAGACCTGCAGCTTCAACGTTAGATCTAGTTTCTAATCCTGTAAACCACTGCCCCCTGTTGGACATGAGCTGATCACTAATTAGTGTCCTACATCCAGACGTGATGCAGGTCTGAGCGCTGGATGTTTGAGGAGTCTAACACGATACATTCATGTACATCCGGTCTGCTGAAAACTCCCGTTACAATCAGCTGTTTGTCCGCTTTCAGAGCCTCTCCGACGAGTCAGCGCAGGTCATTTACCAGATGAGGAGGGTCAGCAGCATCAACAGCAGAGACGCCTCCCACAGCAGCAGCCCACCGGAGCTCCAGCAGAGGCAGCAACAAGACTCCGACGGAGGCAGAATGAAAGAATAAACAGTGGAAGCAGCCCTGTGTCGTCTGTGTCTGCTCATCTACCGCTTCACTGGCACACAAGTCTGTAGATTTAGTTCTGATTGATGCATTTCTCTCCTTTAATCTGCACTGCACAGCCCATAATGAAGACAGTGTTTGGTCTCTACTGAGGTGGTGGAGGAGAACATTTTGATCTAAACACAGTGAAGGTATCTGCTCCATGTGGACCACACAGAAATGGACCTTACTGCACAAATCTAGTCGCATCATGAAGCTAAATCCCTCCGTTATCATGTTCAGTCCTTCCCGTGTGGAGCGCTGCAGGTCTGATCGATCAGGACTAAAGCTGATCAGTAATCGATCTGTTCCCTATCGATCCCTGACTGGTGAGTCCTTCTGTCCTGCACCAGATTTCTGTTTTAAAGAAACTGCTGCTCAGACAGACACACTTCATGTGTTGAGTGCTAAATAAATGGTTTCTTTGTCGTTTCAAACAGTGATTCTTGTTTTTCACTGAAGAATACAGATTTGATGCTGCAGCTGTGTGTAGGATACTCTGGTGCTTCTGGAAAGACATTTGAGGTCTTCAGTGACCTGTCTGAGAAGGTCCTCAGGCCTCCAGGCCAGTTCCTTGAAGACGTTCCACCTCTCATCCAAGAGGCTTCATCAGCTCTGACTGACTAGTTGGGAGTTCCACATACTGATATCCTGAAGGAGACGTTAACACCTGAGTTTGGGGTCTGTTGCTCCTCCCCCTCGTTATGTGGGTCGTTAGTGCTCCTCCTGACACAGTGGGGTTCGTTAGGGTCTTTGTGTCTAGGTGTGGATGTGGGTTCATCTTCCTGGGGAGAGATCTTTGGACTGAACTGTAAACAGGTGATGCCTCAGACGGACGGTGTCAGCGTTGTGTCTGCTGCCCCCCGGTGGCCAACCTGAGTAACCACTGTTGTCAGGAAAGAGAACAGCTTCACTAATGCGCTGAACTTTCTGTTCTGTTCTCCGTTCTGTTTCATTAACATCCTGATGTGATCAGAGAGGGAACAGGTTCAGTGTCGGCAGCAGCTCTATCAGCCGTGAAGCGACTCAGTGGAATGTGGAGGAGAAAAGTCCTGCTGGTTCCTCTGATCTGAAGATAGCTCAGTGTACAGCCGCAGAAGGGACCCAGCATTCTCTGTTGCTGCTCCTCACATCTGGACCGACCTACCCATGCACATCAGGCAGGCCTCCACACTGTCTGCTTCCAAAACCAAACTCAAGACCCTCCATTGACCGGCTTTAACCCAGCATGAGACCCAGCTCTGGTGTCTCATGACCCCCCATGTACAGCTCTGTGTTTCAGCTGTGGCTGTTCTGAAGCGCTCTATACATAAAGCTGATTTGATTTGGCAGAGAGTTACCTCCAGTCCAGCAGTGTGTGTGAGCGGCAGACAGAACTAACCGGTGACTAAAACACTGGAGCACATTCATGAGGCGTCGCTCTTCTTCAATGTTCCTTTTTTAATGACACGTCTTACTCACAAGTTCTTATGATGAACTGAATCCACAGGACATGAAGCTCCACAGACGTGTTCAAATGACACTGGTCTATAAATATGTAAGGGTGTCCACGTTTTACATCAATGACGGTGAATCAGTCCATTAAAAATAACTTTCTATGACACAAGTCTGAGAAATGTGAGCTTTCTGGTAGCATGCGGGTGGACTGGCTTTCTTTGTCAACATGATGATAAATCAGATAAACTTGGGTTTAACCAGGTCAAGTGTACTGTCTGTTGAATCATTTACAGTCGGTTTACTGAATGAGAAAACGATGCTTCTTCATGTTTAAAACCCACTGAGATGTATTTTTAATAATAAACCTCAGACAAACCCGGCGTCTGCCAACTACAAACTGTTGTGTCAGCGCTTTCTTTGTCGAAGTGGCCCGTGAGCTGACTTCTGAGCCCAAAGCAGCAGGCAGAGGAGGAAGTTTTCCACCACACGGTCTGATTACAGGTCAGCCGGTTTATCCTCCTCTGCATCAGCAGCCAAAAGGAATGACAAACGTGAGTCGTGTCATCGATCCACAACCAGAAACACATTCAGAGCAGCAGCCAGAACCACACAGAGAAGACTGAAGGAACCGGATCACACAGAGTCACATTCCCACAGTGTGCAGCTCAGGTCAGACGACACCAGGAAGCTACCGTCGTAGGACACCGTGTTCACACATAGCTGTCATGACGGCGGTGAAAACAGACTCTGGACTGATGAGCTGCAGGCAGCGATTCTGATCTCAGGCCAGGTGTTGACCTACATACTGTACACCTGTCATCAGGTGTTTATTACAGAGGAGGAATCACATTAGAGCATTTATCAGCCCTTTAGCTGCAGGTACAGAATGAATGCTTCA